GCTCGTTTCTGGTATGAGTCCCACGCAAGTATTGATACATGAGGCCCCAGATGAGTTATTTACTTTAAGCCTACATACGAATATTATAATATTCAGTTTTGTGAGCCAAATTTATTTTATATGCCAACATCTATGAAAGAAAGAACCAGGCCACGGAGCGCGATGTGTCATTACGCACAGATGGTTCAGATTTTAATACCATTATTGGAATTTATGATGTGATCTCTGCACACAACCAACCTTTGTCACGTGAGGTTTGAATATGTGCAACTTTATGTGAGTGTCTTTATTTGTTTAAAGGGTGTTTTTCTTACTAGTTGGTCCAACATTACACACACCAAATCCATCTGTGCTCAGATTAGAGAGTGTGAAGGACACCCTCTGCAGCGTTTACAGCAACACTTGTTGAGGGGGTGCCTTCTGTCACCATTGTGTGGCATTACTGTCTTCAGACATCTCTTGATCTCTTTGACTACTGCCCGAAAACAGTAATACGCCTCACTGGTGGTGGATTGAGGAGCTGATGTTATTGGTCAATACAGGTCTTGGCTGTGTTAAATCCACTCCACGCCCTCTCTCCTCCCTCACTACGACTTATGCCGCTGAAAAGAGCTGAGTTAGGGAGGGGGGATACTTACACCGGGCTGTGCCGCTCACCAAAATACCAAATTGTGCTTGGAAACACCTTGTCGGTGCAGCGGACATGACTTACACCGCGCCTGCGGCATGTCTCCAGCGAGGCACGAAAATAGAGCCCAACATATGCAACACCATCCAGGGCAAAGTCTGCAAACTGGGCTCCTGTGACTCAGATGGAAATGAAAACATTTATTGGACTTTGCATCGAGCCATGGGGCTTATTTTTCTGCCAGTACGAAGGGACTACTGGCGACATAAAAAAAGATTTATTCCAGACAAGCTTCTCTAAATACATTTCCTGGGACAGATTTTATGCTATATGGAGGGGAGAATAAGAATGACAATATCAATGATGATAATAACAATAATGAAAAAGATGATGATAGTGATAACAATAACTGATAGTGGTGATGATGATTGACCTTTTTTTTTCAAATTCTGCTAAATGTCTTATAGGTCTTCCTTCCAACATTTATTGTTTCCTCTCACAATTAGGCCTAATTGTTTCAAATATAAGCATTTTTTTGTCTGCTCTGTAGCTAAATAAGTTGCCTAATGTGTAAATGTTACTTTTTCTAGTTTAGTAGTAGTTTTTTTTTTTTACAGTTTTATTTTATTGATGAGAAATAACAACTGTCATAGCAAGGAGGGATTGATAAAGGGCATGACAATTTGTTAACTATGTTAATTGTGATAATTATGTTATCATTTTTATCTACATCTCCAGGACAACCAGACAGCTGATGTCTACTGAAGTGACAAGCTCTGGAAAATGAGATAGTTCCTGAACTATCTCAATGTTCAGTTCCAATCACTGTATGAGGTTGATGGCACTATGACTGTGGATGAGAGCATGATAGAGTTCAAGGGACGTCTCTCCTTCCAACAGTATCTCCCCATAGAACCAACAAAATGAGGCATCAAGGTGTGGGTCATGGCAGAGAGCTCCACAGGCTATGTGTCAAACTTCCAGATAAAAAAAAAGAGTAAAATTAATGCACCAAGTAGCTTGTTTATTTAAAGATGCATTGTTGTATAACTACATATAATAACGACTCTCATATGTCCATTTACATAGACAACTTCAACACTGAGGTGGAGCTCTTTCAGGAAATGAAGACCCATTGTCTGAATGCCTGAAGCACTGTGCATACCAATAGGAAGGGCCTAGAGCATGACACGGGAGCGGATTTTCACTCCTGTCCCTTCCCACTCCCAGAGAAAAAATCCTGTCCCGTCCCAATCCCGTAGAATGACTCCCACTCCCATTCTGCTCCCACTCAAAATTACTCCCACTCCTGTCCTGCTCCAAACATGTTGAAAAATTGTTTTTTATTATAGGTAAAAGTGCAGTGCATATAAAAGGCATTGCCTTTAAGTTTCACATGCCTGACATTCGGTCGGTGTAAACAAAGTGCATGTATATACAGTGGCGGTTCTACACTAAATTACTCCCCGGGCGAGACCCCCTCCAAGACATCTGAGCTGCGCCTCTGAAATCCTGAGAGCCATTTTGAGAAGGGCCCCCAGATCCTGAGGTTTTCTTAACTGTTGAGGTATACAAAAAAGCTGATATCTCAGCCTCTTTCGCAGTTAGAAACAAAATTCAAAAAGTATTTGAGAGCTTACAGGTGTGGCTATCTATTATTTTTTGGAACCTTCATCACATTTTTGAAAACATTGAAGAAACAAACTTAATTAAAGCGGCTGTATAAATAAAAGTAAAGACTCTGCACTGGAGAATAATAAACTATTTGCTTTCTGTAAAACAAGTGACAGTCATGATAAAGTGTCCATTCAACACAAATGTAAATATAAGAAATAAAGTGTTGAAAGGGTATGCAGCTGCCCTAGGATAGTGCCAGTACAAGACCAGTGTTTAAAACTAGAAAAATGAATAAACAAAACGTGGCTGAAGTGTGTTCATCTCTGTGCTCACCCAAAGTCATATGAAGAAGTTGTTCACACTGCTGGATGTTTCTCCTCCAAAGCTGCTCTCTGCCTCTGTCGTAGTTTGCTTTACTCATGAAGCACGTAGCAAGATCTGAGCATGAATCCGAGCGCTTTATTCGCCTATCAGAGGCAGACGGGTATGATGATTTGATTCGCCACGACTCCAGAAATGATTAAAAAACTACAGAATGTCAGAAAATGACGTATCCGCGCTCCTGGCTTGAAGGGTAGAAATGCGCAGCCGCGCTCCCGGCTGACAGCAAGTCAAACCACTGTTGTAGTTCTTTTGTGTTGCTAACGCTGTCAAGAGTGTTGGCTCTCACTGAGAGATGACTACAAAAATGGACGCATCTGTTCATCTGGTTGTTTAACACTGCTGAAAATGATCATCTATTAATGTTGTTCCTGCTCCTGCCCGCTCCTGTTGCTTTTTTTCCCCGTCCCGTCTTGATCACGGGATTGATTAAAAAATGACTCCCGTGGGATTCCTGCAGGAATCACGTGACCCATGGGAAATCCCGAAAAATGTCATCCTCTAGAAGGGACTCCCAAAGAGCGACATGCTGACTAAAAGAGCATCCCTGGGAAGGCATGAATTCATGCCTTTAAAAAGACGAGCTTACTTTCTATATTTGGCAGGACACCAAAACTGTCATGGTACTCTTAAACCACCATGATCCTACCACAACAGAGACACTGACGTGGAGGAAAGAGGGAGCCAGCCAAACTGAGGTGGTAGTGCCTGCTTGCCTTGCTGACTACCAGAAATACATAAAAGGTTTGTTAGCTTTTATGTTTTTATTGGCAAAATGCTAATATTTGCTCATTATTATGTATTGTATCTTTCAAGAGGATGCACCAAACAGAAGCTTGAGAGCATATTCCCACTAGGGTCCTAAGTGAAAATGTGTGCGTGTCATGTGTTTGTGTTAGGTGTGGATCTTCTTGATCAAAAAGGTGTTGGAGAAGGGTTTTCTTTTACTTCTTGGGAGTGTCCTCTCACAATGCATATGTTGCTGCAAAGTCTGTTGGAGGAACAGCCTTCAAGAGGAAGAATAGGGCATACAAGAACTGGCTGGGGGACCTGGCAGAGCAACTCATAATACCAGTGACAGCTAGATACGCTCCTGAGATTCATCCTCCTCCTTTTTCTGCTTCTCCCTCTCCTTGTTCCTCCACTTGTCCCCCACCTTCTCCTGTTTCACTTGTCCCCCTCCTTCTCCTGTTTCAGTGGCCAGTGGAGCCACAACTCCCCCAAAGCATGACTTCAGCAAGATTTTTCAGGGGGGAAAGGCCTGCAGGGAGTGTCAGCTTCTCCCTGAAAATGAGAGACCTGGTGGACCTACAGTCTATGACTGTAAGCAGTGTGAACAACCTCATCATATTAAGTGCTTTGGCTCACACTATCTGCGTTTCCTGGGAGTGTTGCATGACTTTGGGTGAGCACAGAGATGAACACACTGTTGGCCACTTTAAATTTACATTTGTATTGAACAGACTCTTTATCCTTGTGCAGAGCTTTTACTTTTATTTATATGGCCGCTTTATTTCATTTAAGTTTGTTTGTTCAAGGTTTTTAATCATGTGATGAAGGTTTCAGACCAAAAAAAGATAGTTATCTTAAAAGCCACATGTGTAAGCTTTCAAATACTCTTTTAATTTTTTTTCTATCTGCTACAGAGGCCATGATATCAGCTTTTTTGTAAACCTTTTGTAAACCTAGGGGCCCTTTTCAAAATTGCCCTCAGGATTTCAGAGGCGTGTCTCAGACAGGGTTCAGGTCCTAATGGGTTGAAATACACTATAATCAAATATACCTTTAGGTCTAAAATAATAGACAGTCATTGCATACTGTTTTCTTACGATAGAAACAAACAGTATGTCATTTACTTGATTTACTTTGCATAGCTTCTCTAATCTGGTCTCCATCTTTTATCCATGTCTGTTTCTGATGTGCGTGTCCACAGGGCATGGTAGGTGCCAGTGAGTACCCTTGTGCATCAGCATGTAAGCTACTTGAGGATCGCTCCCCTTAAGGTCTCCCTTGGGCCACATGCAAGTGAACAAACATAATTTGTCTGGAAAGTTCAACAAAACAATTTTCTTTTTAAAAATCTGCATCATGTTCTAGTATTTGATTATATCACTTAATGACCTGCTGGTACTGATGCTCACCACCTAATTTTCCTGGCAACAGTTGAATAAGGGGAGTACCAGCACTTATTTTTTTCCACTTAAAGCACTGTATATGCCCATAGGCTGTATCGAGTGTCGCTCATAAAAACATAAACCCCCTAATAACTTTAAAAATGGAGGTGCACAGAATAGAGGAGGACTTGAGTACAAATCTGTCTTTCAATAAATACATGTCAACATCGCAACCAAGGGGAAGAAAAAAATATATTCCATGTAATACATTTTTCAAAGTTCATCCACAGCTCCATTCATTTTGCTGGAGTAGGCCGGATTTATGACCTGCACAGCGAGGAGGCAGATAAGTGACACACACACATCACTTACACACACCACAGGTGCTGGTTTGTAACAAGGACTTGGACTGTTACACACTATCATGATGATGATCCGGTCATGTGATCTGAAGTGTCATCTCTCTGCATCTATGGATCTGAACAGTTCTCCTCCTCTCTTTCTCTTTCTCTTTCTCTTCCTCTGCAGCGTCCTCGCTAGCCCACTACATGCCCACTAGCAGGTACCCACACCTCCTGATATGATAATCTCTGGATATTCATGGGCAGGGATTGATGCTGGTTTCTGACTGGTGGGAGAGCACTGTCAGTTTATGATTAACATTCATCAACATAAACAAGTGTCTACAATCAACTCAGACTGTTTTTTTTTTTTTTTTTTAAGTGTAAGTCGATGCACAGATTCCTGTTTCAAGGACTTATTGTTCTCACGAATGTAGGGTTGTGTTTCATTGGAGCATAATATTGGAATTGGTTTTAGTCCCAAAAGCATCTATTTCGAAGTAATGGAGGAAGTTGAGACAGTGATATGTAAAGTAAATGGCACACAGTATAAAATGCAAAAGTTTTGATGAAAAAAATCTTGGACTGTTTTCAGTAAAGCAGAAGACTTCATGTTAAGATATACATAATGTAAGTGAGAAAGTTTCTACAAAGCGTTTCAAATGGCAGGACAGATGTTCAAACATCCATCAAAGCCAGATGTTTGAAATCTTGATGAGACAATGCCGTGTAAACGCCCTCTCAGACTGTTGCACTCTAATCTTTAAAAATAACCCAAAAGATGAGGAATGTGTTTTAGAGGGCTGTAGTGAGCTTTTTTACATCTTTACCTGGAGATCCGTCACTGTAACACAAACATCATTGAGCGTGTTTCCCTTTCAGGGCTTTGTGTTGGACCTGCTGTCTGTGGCCCGGACATCATCAGTGTTTTTCTCCTCATCTGTTTGCTTTCGATGCTGCAGAGCTGTTCATCTGATTAATGAAGAGGCCAGAGCACCGTGACTTTGTGGTAAATGTTTATGCTGAATAAATGTCAGCCAGAGTGTTTGTCCCAGTGATGATGAGCAGAGAGAGGAGCCAACACTCTCCGGACCTCCCTCTACTGAAACTGAAACCAATTATGGTCATTATATTAGGCTGCAAACTGCCCTTACGCTGCTGATTTTAATCAGCTGCACCAAATGGCCTAGCAATCCTCCAGCTACATTAAAATGGGAGATAGAGGATAATGGCAAATAAATCATAATACACTGTGGTCCTGATCTGAAACTACTCTGCAGCATGTAAAACTAACCAAACTGTTAAGATAATCCCATCCTTCCTCCACTCTGTGTATCTGTATTATTGCATTACCATACCTTATAAACCAAGCTCCCACCACTCCAATAAAACCCATGAATTATTAAAGGCCATCCATCAACCTTTGAGGAACACAAATGGACTATTTTGTGGTTTCCATTAAGCATATTGAAGGAAGAACGACACTAGATAAGTTTTGATCATAGTCACTACCAGTGCCTTAATTTAGCATTTCAGAGTAAATCGCAGGCATCAACTGTGTTTTAACAGTTTCAATTTTACAACTTAATCGAATGAAATTTACTCAGTCACTTGCTTACAGGCAGTAAAACCACCTCATGGGCTTCTACATGGGAAGGGTAAGTCACAATTCATACACAGAAAATGAACGTGAACAGCAATAAAGATGACATTAGGAATTATTAGAATTAAGACATCAGTCCAAAGAGAAGACCGAGACATAAGGCAGGAATTAAGATATTCAGCAAAAATGACCAAAACATCAGAAAAAAGTTAAACATCCCCAATCGGTTGGTATATAAGGGACTCTGCTCCCCCCCTGTGTTGTTATGCTCTGGAGTCTACTGGGTAGGACTCAACCCCTGACAGAGTCTGACCCTGACAAACACAGAGTCACCTGCTGGTCTCACTACAACGGAAATGCATCATATGCAACATCCAGCCCAGAATGTCCCCCCTTGGATTCAGGCTCATGGTTCGATGTGTCAGGCCCAGTCCTGAGGGCTGTTAAAGTTACTTTAACACAGGGATGGTGTTTTGGGGGGCTGAGAACAAAAACTTTGGATTTAAGGTTCATGAGTGGAGTCCCAGAAAAAGGCCACCATTTTTGTCTCTGGGTAAACTAGCAACAATTGGATCCTGTTACTTTCCAGGTGAATAGCCACATTTAAATAGGACAATAGCAATAATTCCCTACTTTGTGCTGCTGACTTTACTGAGTCCACTGACTTCAGGAGTGTATATTCGCTGTGGTCACCATCATTATCCTGGTTGTTTGAGTTCAACGCTCTGTTAAAGCGCTTTGCTCATACTTGTGTGTTTGGTGTAACATGAACCAAACCAGCATGTCAACTCCAGTTCCCTTCAAGAGCTAGGTGTGCCTGCAGGCAGGAGTGACTGACATAGACCTGGCTCGAGCTCATATGGTCGTCTTCTCTCCTTTTATTGGGCCCCTAAAAGTACAAACAAAAGTAAGGACCACACCAAACCAGGAGCTCTGTGATGCTCTGGAGAGAAGGGACCACACCAAACCAAGAGCTCCAACTCACTCTGGAGAGTCAGGACCACATCAAACCAGGAAATCTGCTGCATCGTGAATAGTCAACACTACACCAAACAAGAAGCTCTGCGATGTTCTGGAGAGTCAGAACCACATCAAACCAGGGGCTCTGCCACACTGTGGAGAGTCAGGACCACACCAAACCAGGAGATCTTGAGGAGTTAAAGTTGTAGACAATTTATTTATCAAAACGTGTGGTTTGTTAGGGATCGGTGTGCTATTACTTTCTCTATTGTATGTATTTTTTTCAACTTTTTATTGAAATCAATTGGAAAAGCCCTCAAAAGAGAGCAATTATTGCAGTGTTTTAAATGTTATTGCTCTGGCTATCTGTTCAATAAACAAATACATGAAAAATGAATGTTTGTTTGAGGTCTGCCCCTTGTAAATAATATCACAATGCCAATGTTCGAATGTTTGTAGAAATATTGAACATGTTTTTGAATTTGACAGCCCTGCTCTCTGCCCCTCAAATATCTGTCACAAATACAGCAGAGAAAAAGGAGGAATGTTTCTGGGAACATGTAGTCCTATTTTTTATTTAAATACTCATGATTACTCATATAAAAATATACATAGTTGATTTATTGACACTTCAGTGGAATGCAGACTGTATCAAAATGTACAATCCACTCCTCTAAAAATGGTACAACAGAGGTTTGTTCTTATGCTTTTTCCACAAAAATGTCACAGATGGACTGATAGGTGCAGAAATCCTTTCAACCTCATTAAGGTGTCTGTAGTGACCTACAAAAAATGAAGAGCCTTTTTTATTATAGGATCAATCATGGTACAACATACACGGAATAAATGATGATAAAATACTGTACATGAAACATTCTGAGTTAAGGTCTTTACACACCGGGGCCGACACCAACATAGAACGTGAAATTACAAAATATCTGGAGGCGAATTTTGATGCACCTGATTATACACATCAAGCCCGATGCGATTTTGCGACTTTCCGGGGGGGACGCGTCCAGGGTGGAAGCGAGAAGACTGACACCACAGCAGACCAAGTGTTTTTCAGAGTTAAATAGACACTAGTGTTGAGATGGCTGTCTGTCATGATAGCATGTACTGAGTCAGGGCCAGTACCAGAAAAGCATATTAAACTATAATCCATAAACGAAAGGTAACAACCGAGACCTAATGGTGCTGTGACAGCAACGTGATTGAGTTTGAGAAAGTGAAAATACATATGGTATGCTGTATCTGAACAGGTTAGCTTAGGAGCTCAAATTACTTAGCACAGATGAAAGTTAAAACAAAGACATTTAGCAAACTGTTAAAGCACACAAGCTATCGTTATATGAGAAATCTGACGCTATGACTCTCCACAAGTTGTCCTTCAGATCGTTATTTTTATAATGTTTGTGTCTTATATTAAAAAGCACTCTGTTCTACGACACATAAACAATTAGCCGGTCGGCCATGTTGGATATACTGGTGAATCAGATGTCGCAACAACACGCAATCTGATTGGTCAGAAGTGGACATACAGTATGCGAAACTTTAGAAAAATCAACCATGATTAGAAAAAATAAATGCCGCAATATCGCAGAACGGGAAAACGTCGCTGATGTGAACGCTTGTATTGACAGAATACGGGTTCGAAAAAAATTATTGACGTCCGAAATAATCACACGACAAAAACTGTCCTGGTGTGTAAGGACCTTTAGGCTCTGACTTTTGCAGCCAGTGATAGTCAGTGAATATGCTCTAACATATTAACCTACAGTACATTAACTGTGGAGATAAATTTGGATGAATTTAGGATTACCAGAATTAGTGATTGTTTGAATCATGAACGCAGCATCAGCCCCTAATAGGGCTGATCACGTCTTGTGATTGATGATAAAAAAGGATTCTTTTATGAACCTACTTATGAACACTCATCTGCATGTCCGTTTTGGGGACAAAGTAGGCTGGATGGAGCTAAAATATGGAAAGTGGCACTATAATTATTATTTTTTTAAATGCATCAAAATCAGTTTCACTACTCATCATTGACATGGCCCAGACTCTATTTATTTCAAAAATATATATTTTTTCTAGATCATTTTACATGGGGAATATTGTGTTTTTGTGTTTTTACTACAAAAATTAACAGTAGCTGCGTTTCCATTACCCATAGATTTGCGCAAAACGTAAATATCGCAATAGAAAACTGGTAATGGAAACACCTACATTTCGAAAAACCTCCCAAATATCGCTAAAAAGTTTTTACGCTCTCATGAGGTGGTTTTTCAGAAGTGTCGATATAGAAGTATATCGCAAAAGTGTAATGGAAACACTTTTCTCGCAATTCTCTGTCACCGGACGTGACGTAGCAGGTCAAGTGACCAGTTCATTTCAAGCGTAGATGGCACGGTATATGTGGACGGGGGAGGAGACGGACTTATTTCTGAAGTTTTGAATTGTATTTGTATTTTTCTGAAGTTTTGAATCCACAATTCGTCTGTGAATTCCTCATTAACGATCCTCTCCCAGAAATCCCTCATCCGTGTTCACTCCCATACATACGAGCTTTGCCTTTGAATTATCACCCGCTGCCTTCGTCTTCTGATGACAGCAGCGGCAACAGCAGTAATGGTCACAGAAATAGCTGCTCCAAAACGAAAAATGTTTTGTGTCTCGTCCATGTTGGTGTGCAAAAAGGCTTAAGGAATACGAGGTCGCACGGGCAGGAAGTTTACCTCGTTGATAGGCAACGGCCATTTAAACACGGCTCGCGAGAGGCAGACGGCTCGCTTATGCACTGAACACCATTCAATGGAAACACCCGCAAATCGCAATTGTTCTTTGTCGAAATTTGATAAACATCGCTTTTATTTTGCGAAAAAATGTAATGGAAACGCAGCTAGTGACATGGTGCACAAGAACTAGCATAAAAAGGGTGTAACTTTTTTGTTTATGCACACTTCGTGGCCTTAGAAACCCCAGAATTCTAAGCATTCTGCTGCTGCACAGCTGCACATTTCCAGAGAGACGTCAGGATCGCTTTGAGGCACAGCACCTCTTCGGAGAAAATAGAGAAAATCCAAAAACACAAGACAGTCAGCTCATGCTCCATGAGTGCATGTTCTCTTAACTCACAAACTAACATTATTATTCTATAGAAAAAACTGATCCACTTCGCTACCACAATCAAAAACATTAGAAATAAGAAAGCTGACAAAACTACAATGGAGTATTAGGGCCACACAGAGAATTCACTTTTTAAAGTGGACCTGCCATCAAAATTTCATACCCATTTTTATCCTTTTTTCATAATCCTTGATGTCCTCTGATCATGTTTGCAACATAATTTTAGCTGAAAGTCATTTGATGGTTTGTTTTTAGTATGCCTAAAAAACCTTACAGGAAAACCAACTGATTTTGGCTCATTTACATTTATGGTAATGAGCTTTGCTCTGATTGGATCGCTGCTGTGAAGCCTGCTGTGCTCTGATTGGCTCAGCAGTGGAGGTTCGGATTTCGGTTTATCCATTTTGCTAATGTGTGCTAAAGT